AATTATGTCATTGTGACCAATGGTCTTGGAACGAATTGTCCTAGCACCGAATTTTCTTAACATTGAATTGTGAAATATTGCTTTGTTTGAAGTGAAAGACGTTTGAAATACTTGTATGTTCATCTATTCTATCGAGTATGTGAATAAATCAAAGTGATTATCATTTCAACTTAATTAAATCTGGTCAATAAATTAAGAACTTGAAAGTTATAACTCTAGTTGATAGTTATAACTACGATTGAGAGTTATAACTGAAGAGTTATAACTCAGCCAGTTTTAACTCCCACAGTGACTAGAACGCTATGTTTTGTTTATCTTGTTGCTATTCGCTCGTTCTTTTTTTTCTATTTCATTTTTCTTAATTTAACATAATTATTATTATTGTAACTATTGATTCAACTGACAAATAAACCTTTTTGTAAATATCGATTATATCCACAGCAGGTAACAAACTTGTTATTGTACATCTCGACAAACTAATAAATATCAATATTTTCCTTATTTCTAAAGTTATAACATGATCAATTCATGCATCATATTATGATAGTGACAAATCAATACAACGCTATTTGTGTAAAAAACCACAATCTATGCTATTTAGAACATTGACAAACATATTCCACGAAATCTTTAAAATGCTATAGAATAGTCTAAGTCTTGTTGTTAATGCCGTCGTTCAGTATCTTTCATCATTGCTCGGGAAACTATGGAAAAGGAGTCTGATGTTTGTCGTCCTTAGTTATTAGAGAAAACGTACTCATTAACCTTTGAACATTCTCGATTACTGAGACTCGAAATAAGATAAGGTGGAAGGGAAAACTAGAAAACTTCGATTTAAAACTGATGCTTACTATTTTTCTTCGAAAAAAATATCTGTAGATTCTACAAAATAATCATTGGCGATATAGTATATGTCATTAGTTACTTCAATACATACGGCTATATACATTTCTGTTACCTTCTAATTTCGAGTACGAATTTCAACTATAATAATGCTTAATACAACCAACTATTCAATAATATTTATATGAATTTCAATATTTCATGAAATGTGTACAAAAGAGAATTGTATAAATTATTCCGAATCAATTTTTATTCTATTTATCTTTTAATTCGATTATTTATTATACTATAAATATACATTTTTGGAAAAGTAAACATAAATTCCTTGCAAAGTAAATTCTATACAAAATGATAAAAAAAAGTAACGACATGAAAATATCAATATAAAAATAGTAATGAACTAGCCAAAAACTTTATCGTGACTTAGAGGAAGTAATTTAAAAGTGACCAATGAATTTATGGGTAAAAATCATCAACCACACTGACTCGATCGATTTGTCACATCATTCCGATCGGCTACGTTAAACAAAAATGAATGTCTCAAATATAAAATGATGTGCGAATTCTTGAATTTCCAGCAGAACAATTCATATTTCTTGACTTGGGTAATTTTCAAGAAACGATTATCAAAAAAATTGCCTATTGAAACAAGATGCATTGATCTGCACAAAAGGAGTAGGATGATTTTGTAAATTGTATATTAGCAGAATGTTTTTAAAGTTCACATACACGTTCCCTCAATAGAAAATTGTGTACAAATCATTTTCATGTATTTATATCGAAGAATCATTGATCATCAAATTTGCTTGATTTAAATTCATTAGATTATAATTTATAGAATGAACTAGCTGAAACTATGAATTGAAATCACATAGTATCAAAAGTAACATTGATCGACAAAAAAATTTACATGCTATACTTGATTTCAATGTACGATTACGCGTGACTCATAAAATAGAAAACCTACGGCGAACTTTTTTTTCTCACTTTCTTGACATGCAAAGATTTCAAGATGTATCCCCATAGTACATGACTTTTTTTTCATAGACAATTACTTTAAATGTTCACATGTTTTATATGTACATTTAAAACAATTCATATGTTGAACTTATGGAAATCATAGAAATGAACATACTTGAAACAATCAACCAGAATAAAATAATAAAACTTTTCTGTTCAAGATGAAGAAAAATGCTTCTTGTCATTGAGAATGTTTGAAGTCTATTTACTTATGTGCATTTTCTTTTCGATCGGCTTGTTACAGACTTCATTATTTTAGCTGTAAATTTTTATACTTGACTGAATCATTTTGAATATAGAACTGAAGAAAATAGAATAAAAAGAGCGTGTAACATCTTATTAAAATTAATTTCACACATCACAAATATTGTTGTGACAGACAACCAGATCCAATAGCATATTACAATCTCCAGTTTACCAATGACAGCAGACTTTTATTATTAATCTGTGTAGCTTATAATATTTTTCATAAAGTAATCAAATTTAATTCTTATTCAAGATTATACAAAGTCCAAAAAAAAAAAAAAAAAGAAAAACTTTTTTTTCATAATTATGCACAAAGCAAAAGATTTTCTCTTAATAATAATAATAATAATAAAAAGTTAATGTTTATATATATTGAATTAAGCACGTAAGAACAAAACAATAATTATGTTATTTTTTTTTTTTGTTTCACAAAAAGCAATCACAAGCATTGAAGAAAGAAACAACCACAAAGTATTTAACCTACATAAGTGAGATTTCAAATATAATCAAACGAGAGCAAAACAAAAAAAAGAAGAAAAGAAAAGAAAAGAAATAGATATTTAGATAATTCTTTGTTTGATTATTTTTTTAATTTAACCCATAGTACCGGGTACTCGAGTTTGTGGTTGTTGTTGTTGTTGTTGTTGCATATTTGGACCAGATATATTTGTAAAATTATTTTGTTGTGGATATTGTTGAGCTGTTTGACTCTTGAAAAATTTTGTTTCCTTATAAACAAACCACATACTACCAAGCCAAAGTAAAAAATTTAAAAAACCAAATATTACCGATACTGTTATATTAGCATAAGTACCAGCTAAGATAAAAAATAACATTCAAAGAAAAAACAAAAAAAAAAAAAATTTGAAAATATCTTACATTCATTTTCTTCACATTTTGGATCAACAGCACACTCCGGTACAAGTGTATATACATAATTAAATGAAGTTTGTGATCGTATACTTGATACTCCTTGTGCCCATGCTGAACTACCAGCAATCCAAAAAATTGCCCATATTATTATAAGAATAAAATCAATTATAGGAATACGTTCATCATAACGATATAAACGATCTGTTACAACATAAAGTACAAGAAATGCAAGTGATAATAACATTGATGTAACACCAGTAAAAACAAAAAATTCAGCTGATGGTTTAATGCCATTTGAAGATGATAATGGTTTTTGAGTTGCATTGAAATTTATATTAATTTGAGTATCTTGTAATTTATAAGGATAAGACCATGAAATACTAACTGCTTTATCATCCGAACCTTTTTTGATATATAAATAAGAACTACCATTACATGCCGTAGCAAAAGCAAATATAGCAAAAATGAATTGAAGCAGCCGAATAAGGCCGCGAGGTTCTAAAAACAAAAAAAGATGATTAATGATTTTATTAGTTTACTATCAATTCTTGACTTATTTGAATATAAGTACTTTTAAATTTACATGTTATAAATGAATTTTTAAAGATTTTTTAATTCTTTGATAATAATATAAATAAATTTTAACTTACCTTTAAGTATTCCAAAATAAAATGCCATTATATTTATTACAGAAATGTTTGATTGTAAAGAATCTATTGAGGGAAAAAAAAACACATATATATCAAATTATTGATTAACTAAGCAGGAAAAAAAAACATCTTTTTATGCGTCATTTATATAGGGAAGTTATTTTTATAGCTTTTTCTCTCTTCTTTTTTTTTCTTGCTTCGACATGCACGTAAGTCGTTAGATCACAAGTAACATTTATTATCATAACAACACATATCTATTATAAGAGCCATGCAAACTTCTCTTTCTATGTTATATACCTTCATATTGGTTGTATGTTGACGACAATAGTTATGCTATTTGATGTTCGAATGAATGAAACTTACTGATTATTCTGTTTGCTTCTTTCTCATTTTTTTTCTTCGTCTTCTATGACTCAATAATAATGCAGGTGTGTAAAAAGTAAGAAAAATTTCTCTTCAGTTCTCTCTTTATCAAATATTTGTTGATAGTATTCGATAAAAAAAGCAGCCATAAGGAACAAGGCGAGAGTAGTAGTAGAAAAAAAAAAGTCTCAAAGAGAGAAATAAAAACAGCAATATGATGCTATTGTTGCAGCGTAAACCTTTCATTTCAATTGAAGGAAAAAAAAAAAGAATAAAATATTGCTTAGAAAAAGGTAGATGAACAGAAAGAAAAAGCAAAAAGGTTTCATTTTCTATTTTTTTTTTGTATGACAGAAGTAAATTATAGTCTATACAACAACAATTTATAATAACGATTAAAAAGAAAGGATGTCTCAAAATATATTCTTTTTTTTGTGAATAAAAAATAAAAATCTATTCTATGATTGGTCAATTAATAGATTTTTATAATATAGATGATATTGATATTTTTTTTTTTCTTATGTCTTTCTTTATCAGAACAAAAGTGTTGTTTTGAATAAACGACTAGAAATTATAATAATTTCAATTGTGAATGACCTATTATATCATTTGATGATTTATCAACCAATTATTAATAGGAATACAAACTATATATATATATAAAGAATTCTTCTAAATGAAAAACACAAAAGAAATTTTCAGAATGAAATGTCATTGTAAATATTGTTTACCACGTTTTTTTTGTCAAACAGTAAATGAAAATGATTTTTGTTATTATCGATATTCAATAAAAACAAATGGTACTAATGATTTTGGATGTATTCAAAATGATGTTGCTCGTTTTTTAGTATGTTTTTTTTTTTGTTATTAAAAATTTAACAAAACAAAAACAAGAAAAGATAGAACAATTTTATTTAGTGTAATACAACTGATGCAAATTATCGAACTGAATGTTGTTCTTCATTTTTTTGTAATATTAATTATCAATTATTAAATGAAACGAGTACATGTAAGTTATTTTATTCCAAGGGAAAAAAAAACAAAGCTGTTAGTGCACTTTCTATGGAATTAGAACATGAAACATCATGTAGCGGCTGTTGTTAATCACTATTTATTTTGAGATATATTTCTTTTCCAGAAATGCAATAAGAAAAATAGTTCATATACTAGAACCAGGCATTATTTATATACTAGCAAGAACCTGTGCATACTGCACGGCTGTTTCCTTCTTTAACGTATGACCTTAGACGTTTAACTTTTCATCCGGTAACAAACATACAGCTATTCGATATGATATATATAGATAGATAGCCCTACGGCCTTATATCCCTTGTAGTTCTTCTAACCGTATCTCCTTAATGCTTTACCCCTTACTCCTTTGAGGGCCTATCCATACCCCCATATAATAGTCCTTAAAGACCTCTGGGTATCTCATATAATAGCCCTTAACAACCTTTGAACATCCCCATATAACGACTGATGCAAAAGTCTTGGCACAAATGTCGAGACCTGTAGTATTTCAACAGAAAGTGCTAGAGATCTAATTCTTTCACCATTAGATAGACCAAAATGTCTGCTTCCAAACTCACTTTTTGAAAAAAAGCTTTTGATGAAGTTAAGGTTTTCAAATTTTAATTTTTGAAAAACCACTAAAAACGACTTGTAACCATGCGAAATTAGGAAATGTTACGATAACACACCTTTATGTAAGTTTCACAGTTTTTCGCTGTGCTACAAAAATTTAGTAGCTCAGTAGCTACGATTCAAAAACAAAGCTTGGTTCAATCAAACATAGTCTGGCTGAGTTATAAGTGGATTTAATTATGACGAAATTGGCGCCAAAGCGCTATTTTGTTCATTAGTAGTGTTTAGCTGATTTTCAGGAGATGAAAACGCCTATTCCCAGTTTTTCATATGGATTCTGAAAGGTCTTGAAAAACAGCATCTTTTGGACTAATTAAAAATTTTTGTCTTTCTAAAAATACCTAAATTGCGCACCAAAAACCCAACACTGCCGTGCTTTCGCTTAAAAGCCTGATTGCGGATTACCATGGATACGCACAACTTTCGGAGTGAGATTTTGAAAAACCCTACACTTCAGACTTGATTCCCTGGAAGTTTCAGCTCATTATCTATTAATTCGACAAGAATACTGTTGTTTTAAATTAAAAAAAAGCGCGAAAAAGGATCAAAAGTTACAAACCGTTTTTAGTGGTTTTTGAAATTTGAAAACGTTTACTTCATCAAAAACTTTTTGAAAAAAGTGGGTTTGAAAGCAGACACTTTGGTCTATCTAATGGTGAAAGAATTAGATCTCTAGCACTTTCTGTTGAAATACTACAGGTCTCGACATTTGTGCCAAGACTTTTGCATCAGTCGTTAATAGTCCTTGAGGGCGTATGGGTATCCTAATATAGTAGCCCTTGGGCCTTCCGCTTGTAACCTTATTTGACCTTTGATCCGGCACAAACAGACACTGAACATTATATATATAGATGATCCGAATTTTTACGCCTATACTTCCACACTCCTTTTTGATCGTATTTTACAAAAGTGAATAGAAGATACTATGCCTTTTGGTTAGCGCATTGCCGGCGTAAGTTAGTACGATATGTTTCCTACAGTTGACAAGCTTGAAAATTAATTACCAAACTATAGCTCTAGATAAAAGGTTAGTCTGACGTAGAATTTTTCTTGCACACACACATACTCGCTGTCTCTAGAAAGATGTATCACGAGAATAAACTGAAGCAGCAAATGTTTGCCACAAATATGCTAGTGGAAGAGTGATCCAAAGCAATAGCTTTAGTCGATAACTAGATACTTTTTGATGAACATTACATCTATTCAGTCTTGGCGACTTTCTGAAACTAGGAGTGGGCGACGAGCACTAAGATCGAAGCTAACAAAGAGAATCTCGAGTTATGCAGATGAGTAGAATAAAAGTTGTCATAGACTTAGAATTCTCCAATGGTTTCTTCAGGAAGATTTTAGAAGGCAAAAAATGGGTTGAAATTTTTTTTTGCAGCAACTAGGAACAAATCTGGGTGCGTGTTTTTCTTTGAAAAATATTGTTCATGAGACTTAGGAGAAGCAAAATTACAGTGAACTAAAATTTCTATTTTTAAAATTAGCATCAACATCTACAATCAAATCAATATCAATTGAATCTAATACAACTAATTTATTGAGTACAATTATTATCATTGTTACTATTTTTGCTCTTATATTATTAGTAATTATTATTTATTATGTATATAAACGAAAGTAAGATAAATATATATTTATATATATGATTATAAATAGAATTTTATTATTATTTTTAAAGATTTCAAATTTTTTGGTCAACATCATTTAAATCAACTAGTTTTATTAATGATAAAAATAATAGTCTTGAAAATCAATTTAAAAAAAAATCTTCATTTTTATTTCCTATTGATTATCATTTCGATACAATATCATGGAAATCAAATTCATTTGATAATCATAATCAAATTGTACCACTTGTAAATTTTTTTTTTTTTTGAATTTAAAATAACAAAAAAACAAAGCCTATATATATATATATATTCTTCTAGGAAACTCGTCGTGTAAATAAAGAAATAACATTTCTTGAACAATTAGGTCAAGGACGACATGCACGTGTTCGTCTTGGTCTTATAGGTCAACAATATCGAGCAATAAAAATGTATGAAACAAGATATCAAAATGAATTTGAACGTGAACGTGCTATTTTTGAAACTGATCTTATTCAACATCCAAATATACTTGGTATATATATAAAACAATAAAAATTTCCTTTTTATTTTTCGTATCTTATTTTTAATAATTCATTGTTTTTTTTCTTCTAGCTTTTTTTGGTGCTGATTTTTTTGCTAAAAGTACTGAAACATGTTATATGTTAATATTTGAATATCATCCATATGGTACACTTTATGATGTTCTTAAAAAAATTCAAAATGAACAAGTTATAACTATTAAACAATTATTACAATATTCTATATCATTATGTGATGGTCTTGCATATTTACATTCAATTAAGTATGGAACAAATGGTAAGAATAATAATAATAATATTATAATTATTCACCTATTAAAATAGAATAAGGATTAGAAAGAAAAAAAATGAAAAGAATTTTTGTCTAAGGAAAATTGATATGAAATTATCATACTCCTTAGAAAAATATTTGAACCGAAACTGTATTCCTAATTTCAACAAAATTTTTTAGTTACGCCCAAGATGCGACATACTTTCCTATTTCTTAGATAATGATCTTATTATTAATCAAATCATATTTAGATATTTGTAAACCACAAATGGCACATTGTGATATAAAAAGTTCAAATATATTAGTTAAACTTAATGGTGATTGTTGTTTATCAGATTTTAGTTTAGCTGTTCGATGTGATCCGTATGTATTTTTAATATAATTAAAATAACAAGAACAAAAACAAAAACAAAAATTTTCCTTTTTTGTTTTTTTTAGTCATACACAAACTATTCAAGGTGGTGGTATTGAACGTTTTTATCATCGTGTTGGAACAAAACTTTATATGCCACCTGAATTACTTGATAAAAATAGTAAATTTAATTTTGATCGTATTAATGCATATCAACAAGGTGATATATATTCATTAGCACTTGTTCTTTGGGAAATAGGAAATTGTTATTGTTCATTAACACATATAAGACCTTATGAAAATCAATTACCAATTAATTTTAATCTTGATCATCTTATTCAACTTATTTCAATTGAACAAAAACGTCCAATATGTTGTATAAATACGTCAGATAAAGTAAAAAAAAAAAAATATAAATGAAAAAAAAAAAATATTGATTTCATTTTAGATTCTTATATCATTTTTCAATTTACTTGATTTATATTGGTGTCAAGATCCATGTGCACGTCAATCAGCAGCTAATCTACAAGATCAACTTCGACAAATTATGTCATAGAAATATATCTTCCTAGTTTGATAATATTCAATATTTTTTTGTATTTGTATCAATTATTTGTTAGATATTATCTATATATATATGAAATAAAATTTCCGTCAGATAAATAAATATATGTTGTAATTAAAATTGAAATTTCTTTTTTTTTGATGAGCAAAAAAAACAACAAAGGTAAAATCTTGTTAACAAAGAGCATGAATGTAAATGGATTTGGAGTAAGAATGCAACAAATTTGAGATTTATGATCAATGGCTTTGAAATTTAGTTTATATTTGGATTTTGAAAATAATTTGGCGATAGTTATCAAAACGTAAACTATTTATATTATTTTTATTCAAGACAAAATCTTATTGTACTGCTTTTCTAGGTTAATGTTACCTTATCTTATCAAGTCCTTTGAGATGTGAGTCATTTGAAATTAAATTCCAAGACTTAGGATTTGCTACACTTTGAGTCTGGAAAGTCTCGATGTGTGAGTATGAGATTCTTATTGCATCCACATCCTCATTTAATATTTGTTTATAAATTTTATAAAAAATATTTGTTACTTTAATTTATTTCTGTTCATCACAAAAAAAAAACAAATTTCAATTTTGTCTGGGCAAATTTTACTTTTGACTACAACGACAAAAAAAACACGATTTGTTTTTTTGTTAAATAATTGGTTTTTCTTTTCTATACGTGAGATTATATTAACAGATCTATGTGTTTTGACATAAATATTCAATTATTCATACATTCATAAAAAATAAATATGAATATATATATATCGATACTTCATATGATGATTATAAAATAATGCATTTCATACAAATGAGATTGTAACTTGAATAATAATGTATAACCTAAATCTTTTTTGCAATCGTTCAGTAACATGATGGTTATTGCAGAATGACTAAAGCTTACGTTTTTTTAAACTTACAATAGAGGGGAAAATGGATATGATCATTTATCGATATTATTTTGCCTCTATATATATATGTAAAGACACAATTGAATCCATATAAAGCGAATATTTATTTATTTTTTTAACCTACAAAATTATTTCGCATCCATGATTTTGCTTATGTTTTTTTTTCTTTTTTTTTCTTTCTTCATCAACTTTTTGTCATTACTTTTTTTCTTTTTTGACATGTGTTGTCGAAAGAGTAAATGTTAAGATACATTCACTATTATATTAAAAAAGAAAAAATTTTTTTTTTTTTTTCTTCACATCTGTTGTTATTATGTCAGTGAGTAGTAGGTAAGGAAAGAATGAATCGTAAAAGGAACAATTAAATGTTTTCCTTTGTAAATGAGTCAGTTATCATATCGCTCTTCGACCTTGGCTACGATAATTACAAAACAGAGGGCTTTTCTCATCATATCAAACAATTTCAATTGATGATTAATTAATTGAAAGATTTTCTTGTTTTTTGTTTTGTTTTCAGATGGATGAATATTCTTATCCTCTACCAAATCACATGCGTTCCACATTGAATTTTTCAAAATTTATTGAAGATTCTGTTGATGAATATTTAGAGGATCCTAATTTAAGTGTTTCAGATATGATTGAAAAAGTAAAACAAAAAATATTTTATTATATTTTGTTTTTTTTTATCATTGTATTTTATTTCAGTACGATATTCTTTTAACGAATAATGATAAAATTAAAATGAAAAAAAATTTACGTTGTGTTGTATGTAATGGAAGAGCATTTGGATATAATTTTGATCAGATATCATGTGAAAGTTGTAAAGGTAAAATAAATAATTCGAAATTGAAATTAAGAAATAAAATAATAATTTTATTTCATAGCTTTTTTTCGACGAAATGCGTTACGAGATATAGTAAATATTGTTTGTTTATTATTATTAAATTTTATATATTATTTTTGTTTTTTTTTCTTCAGAGTGAATTACATTGCAGGTTTTCTGGCAATTGTAATATTACAGTAGAAACTCGACGACATTGTTCATATTGTCGAATAAAAAAATGTTTTGCTCTTGGTAAGTATAAAAGATTAACTTTCATCTGAGACACATATATACGTAAAGTGCTTTAAAGAACATGTCAAAGGTCACGTCAATTAGAAAAAAATGACGTAATTTGTTAGAAATAAAAAAAACCTTTTGTGTTTAATTATACAAATAGATGAAAATTAGATTTTGTTTTTATATTTTGCTAATCATTTTTTTGTTTTTGTTCTATATAAAAATCTTATCTAATAAATTAAATTGATAGAGTACTTTTAATCATTCGAATAATCATAAAGATGTCTCTTGATGAATATATATTCTTTTTTATATTAAGGTATGAGAAAAGAATCAATACGAACTGAAGAAGAAAAATTTATGAAACGTCTGCAATTAGATAAAAATCGTCGTCATAAATATTCTCAAAAAACAATTGAAGTTGGTTTTTTTTGTTTCAAATAAATTCATATATATATATTTTTTTTTTTCTTCTTTATTTAGATTCCAGCATTAATGACAATTGGAAATTCAAATATTCTAATGATATTAAATCCAATTGATCGAACACGTCTTAATAATATAACACATTGTTATGATCAATTTACTGGTGAACCTAGTTCAATAACATATCATCCACCATCAAATGCTCTTTTCTTACGTCTTGATGAATTTTTTAATCGTAAAAAACAAATTTTTGTTTATTTAATATCATATTTTAAACATTTACCAGAACTACAAACTTTAAATGTTGATGATCAAGTTTTATTAATTAAACAAAATATTCGTCTTCTAATACCATTAAATTATGCTATACTGAAAACACCTGTAAATTCAAAATTTCGTGGTGCACGTATTCAAACAATTGGTTGTATTAATAATATTAATTTACATGAAATATATTTATCATTATCAAATTCTTTTGTTGAATTTGTTAGATATGATCCAATTATGATTAAATTATTAATTATTATTCTATTTTTTACAACTAATCCTTTAACAACAAGATCTATATATGATCAAGGAGAATATAAACAATTAAATAATATAAAACAGATTCAATCATCATATATTGAATTATTATGGTTATATATGATTGAAAAATATGGTGAACAAAATGCAGTACATTTATTTACAAAAATGATCACGAAATATTTATATCTTCAACTTATGATTGATAGTATGGATTCAATTGTACGAGTAAATAATGATATACATAATATTGATTCATTGATGCAATCATTTTTACAATTAACATGAAAAAAAAAAAAAACAAAAGAAAGTGAAAAATAATCTTTTATGAGTTAAACCTCATTTATAATATAGATTTTTTTTTTCTCTTGACTTTTTATTTTATTCGGTTAATAAGAAATTTTGTTCATTAAAACTCGTTTTCTTTCACTTTCTCAAGGAATAGGTTTCTATTATTTTGAGATAATAGAAATAATTATGACAATAATGTCATATTGCTCTTGTTTTGTTTTAAAATACAATTTGTTCTTGTATTATTATTTTTTTTTTTTTTGCATTTTAAAGCATGAAATGAAGCAAATAAACAGACATTGCACACAATTATTTTGGTTGAATACTATTCATAATATCGATCCATAAATATCTTTTTTTTTCTTTTGTTTCAAAATGTCCGGAATTAGTTATAAACTCGTTCGAACTATTTTGAATTAATATGCGAGTTGAGTCATTTAATAACAATAGCATGACAAAGAAAAAAGTCATTATATAGAAGAATTAAAATGACAGAATCATTAAATATAATATTTTCAAGACAGGTGATATAAGTTTAAAAGAGATAACTCATTGTAGGAAAAAAAAATGAATATTTGTTTGGAATTTTGTCAATGAAGAACTTTATATCTTTATCTAATAATTCGAAAAGATACAGAAATATTTCACAAGTGAACATTTTCAATTAAAGACAATAATCTTTTTTATTTTCCAAAAATGAATTTTAAATAAAAAAAATATTATCTTCAAGATATTCACATTGAAATGTTGATTTATAGTAGCAGACATAAGTTTAAAACAATTGTATTTTTAAGTTTTCTTCTCTATGATAATAACTAGCAAAAATTTGTGTAACTGAAAGGATTCTCTATTCGTATTGGTAGACCTGAAGACTTTAACAAAACTGCTTGGATAAGGATCTGTGAAAAACCCAAACCAACTTTCTTGCTTGCATTTGAAGTTTTTTGGGAAAATATTTTATCTGATAGAGCAAGAAGAGAAATCTCCATGACTTTTCTTCATTATTAGTGGCATACACAAAGTTGAAAACATGTTTTTCTTTAATAATAAGATATAAAAACGCTGGTCCTTCTATTCAGAAGCTTAAAAAAAAAAAGAAAAAGAATTGTATTTCGGAGTACTAAAATCTCGCTTTAATTGCATTTGCTTCATTGAAACTCGTGTAATTAGTGAAAGTCATGATTGTTTTCTCTTTTCTTCTGCTAATTGAAATGTAGAAAGTAATCGAAGTAATTAAGAGAGCGTCCGTGAGAGCATCGAGTATACGAGGCACTCGACAAAATTTTTTTTTTCGATTTTTTTTGCTCATTCAAAACTTCAATGTCTAGAACTACTAACCCTAAAATTTTAGCTTCTAATACGCTTCCTACGAAAAGTTAGCCAAGACCAACTTTTGACACTATCAGGCCTTTTTGTGGAAAAATAAGAAAAAATACTCTATATAAGATGTGCTAGGTTGCGTTTCAGCAAATCATTGAAATTTTTTGTGGTATACATAGGAAGATAGACAATTGAAAACTGAATAAAATAAGCTAGGTTGATATAATATAATCTCTAACAATTTTAGTTTTATCAAGCTAATATGAGTCAATGGTGGTCATTTTGATCAGTCGATAGAAAACAGTGTAGCTCCTGCTGTGTTGCAGCTTGAAGAGATCCCAGACTGAATTTTATATATGTTGTGCAACTTTTTATTCTCTACAAAATGGTAAAAAAATATTTGAAAAAATAATCTAAAATTGATGCAAAAAAGGGCTTACACCTTCGAATTTTTCATGGTTTTTTTGTGATTTTTGAATAGAATATGAACATTTTTAGAGGTTTGCATTAGTATGATCTAATGATAATTCAAAATAAATACGATATTTGGAATCACCATGAAAAACTGCATCAATCCATATATGTTTTAGCGAAAATTTTTTCCTGGCCAAAATTGACCTGTGGGGGACCAGGGGAAAAAATTCCTTAGAAATAAAGCTGTGGGGGAGTACAGGTCAATTTTGGCTAGCAAAAATTTTTCGCTAAAACATATATGGATAGATGCAGTTTTTCATGCTGATTTCGAATATCGTATTTATTTTGATTTATCATTAGGTCATATCAATGCAAACCGCTAAGAATGTTCATATTCTATTCAAAAATCACAAAAAACCATGAAAAATTCGAAGGTGTAAGCCCTTTTTTGCATCAAAGTAGAACTTTTTTTCAAATATTTTTTTACCATTTTGTAGAGAATAAAAAGTTGCATAACATATATAAAATTCAGTGTGGGATCTCTTGATTCTGAAACACAGCAGGAGATATACTGTTTTATTTGGACTGATCGAAATGACTACCTTTGACTCATATTAGCTTTATAAAACTAGAATTCTTAGAGATTATATTATATCAAAATAGCTTATTTTCTTCAGCTTTTAATTCTCTATCTTCCTATGTGTATCGTAAAAATTTTCAACAATCTGTTGAAACGTAAGCTGGTACATCTTTTATAAGATATTTTTTCTTTTTTTTTTTTCAAAAAAGGTGTAATAGTGCTAAAAGTCGGTATTGACTAACTTTTCATAGGAAGCGTATTAGAAGCTAAAATTTTAGGGTTAGTAGTTTTAGATATTGAAGTTTTGAATGAGCAAAAAAAATCGAAAAAAAAAATTTTATCGAGTGCCTCGTATATTCGATGCTCTCATGGACGCTCTCTTAAATAAAAAAATTTTTCACATAAAGATAAATATTAGTCGAAAAATTTCTCCAATCAAATTATTAACGATAATCTACAAAGCGAAAGCAGCTGATTTCAACTGTCTATTTCCATTTTCCAATAATCGTTCAAAATTCAATTGAGTAAACTCATCAAGTCTATAGAAAAGATTATCAAATTAAATTTTAGATGTTTATTAAACTTAATTATAATGGAAAATTTTGAAGAAATTGAAAATCATCTTTCATTTCATTGACCACATATATTTTTATCAATAGATCCATTAACATCAAATCACTCTCACTAAATTATCACGATATAATTGGTTAATTAAATGTTCAGAAAAATTATCATTTGTATTAAAATCATCATAAACAAATAATTAAGATCTTAAATTAAAGTATCTTTTCAATTTAAATCAATATTTTAATAATGAATATCGTGTTCCTCTATCCATGTTAACGATTAAAAATGAAAGATATGTCAATGGAAAATATTGGCTATATGAATATATTCATGAAAAAGTTTATAATGATTGTGATTGTAATTGTGAACATTTATTTGATGAAAAACAACTGATTTTATTAGCTAAACTTATATGAAAATATCATCAATTTCTTATTAGAAATTCTTCTTCTTTATCAACAAATAAAAGAATAACAATACGCGAACATTTACTCAAAGAACTCAAACAATCCATTGTAAGTTAAACATGAAGATGAAATATCTCTATGTATTTAGGATTTAATTAATGAATCTCGAAAAGAAAGTATTAATTTAATTAATGAATATTATCTTGGATGTTATCCATTATTAAAAAGATTATTAGAAGAATCTTTATCAAAATAAGAAAAAAGTCATTCAAATCGAAATTATCTTATTCATCGAAATCTTCGTCCATCAAAAATCATTTGGTCATTAACAAAATCAAATCATTGGAATCATTGATTTTGAAAATCTAAATGTTTATCAATATTTTGTACATCATCATCACCATCCATAATAACTGATGTTGATCAAATGAAAATATTTATTGAAGAATAATATATGAAACAAATTTCAGGTGATGTTGCAAAAGTTTCATCACAAACAGAACAAGAAGTATTTCATTTAATTGTTGATGAGATTATTTTATGTACTTGTGAAGATTTTACATTTATTTATTAGTAATATCAATATGAAAATGAACAATTTCAAGGAATAAAAGCATTAGCATTTTATTATAAGCGAGCATTGTAGCATGTTGAACATGCTTTGAAAAAATGAGACATTATTTATTGTTGTTACAGAGATTATTTTGTTTTTTTTTCCTGTTATTTATTCGAAATTAGGCTATTCTTATGTAAAATGAAGGATGAAAATAAATAACCTTTTTGACACATCTACAATTTTCACATAACAGGAAGATTTTCATGTTTCTCTCTATTGTATCATGCATTCATTTAGCAGATTTTTTATTTGATACATGCAAAAGAGAATATGTATAGTGCTTTGAAATGAAAGAAGTAATTATTCTTCCTTTGAAACAATACTCTGTAGTGATCTTTTATATCATATGCCTTTTAACATTTAAGTATGATTTAGAATGGTACAATCTATTCAAACAAACAAATTTATATCTCATATTCTCGAGTATGATCAATATCAGCAATATGAGAAAAGTAGGATTTTTTCAAATATCAAATGAGATGTTTTTTTTTTTAATATATTTTTAAAAATGAAATAATCCTTATATTTTCATGTTAATCTATTTACTTTTTTTTTTTGAAATTAGATAAATTGATCTTCATCTTCACTGTCGTGTTCAACATTATTATCACCATAATTCTACAAAACAATATTATAAGACAACTACGTTATGATAAATGGTAATTACATAAGTTTAGCTGAAAATAATTTGTTACAAAATCAAAGTTCTTATTGACTCGATAAGTATCTGGTTAATTTATAGTGACTCATTAACCTAATTAATTTGCAATGATAATCTATTATATTATTAGAACAATAAACTGTAAGTAGAGTGAACGGGATCAATTTCGTTTTTATCTTTTTCCTTGGTTAAAAGGACATGTACCAAAAATTCAGTGTAGACAAGAGCTAACAATTTGTTCTTTCAATAGATGAATAATCATCGTTGTGATCGTTGAATAATGTAAAAATAAGACTACGATACTTTTAAAGGCATATTTACATGTATAAGAATACTAATATTCAAAGGCAAGGGTTTTTATCTATCAATAGATGCAATGAATTATATAAACATATGAAATTTTTACCCCTCAAATATTTCTTTATCAGCAGGTATTAACTCTATTTGACGTTTCTTATCGGCTTTTGTTTTTTTATACAATTGTTTCGCATCGTTCATCAATTGTGCTGCCATATCATTTTTAACTTCTTCTGCACCAACACGTTCAGCACGTAAACGAAAATACTTTATACTTTCAACAAGAAAATTGATTTCCTTCACTGTTTTGTCTAAAAAAAATAAGTTCAAATAATTATTGCTGGACAAAATTCTAATAGACTATTTTCAAGCATAACTTTGAAAAAAGTATCTGATTAGTAGTATGAGTTATTTCAAGATATTGTTTGTAATTTAATTAAAGATTTAAAATATAGATTTTCGACAATAATTCGATAGTACTCTGATTAATATTGCATCTTAACTGTATTTAACTGATATGAAAAATTGATAAACTCAAGTTTACAACTAGAAATTGACTTAAATTCATATCAAAATAGCATTGATTAAACAGTTTATGTACTAGTTTATTTTAAATTCTTGCAGATGATTATATGTGAAAGAAAAATTCGTCTAATTTCATCTCAATCACTCGAAATATATCAAAATTATATTCAAAACTTCAACTATACAATATTCCATCCAATATTAGAATAGAAGAAATAAAACTTATGTTTTTTATATGTACTGAAATCAATCGAAATATCTGAATACACTTTCCTCTTTGACAGATAGCATGATACAAATTTTTCAAACATCAACAAATAATCTTACTACTTGCAATAATATGTTGTCCTTTCAATGCTAATATTAAGTCTGATATTACGAATTCTCAATTTTTTCTCAACATTATTCTTATTTTGAAACAATTAAAAGAAATTATTTTGCTTTATTTTGATTATTTTGTGTTTGAAAAACATTAACCATAAACGAACGTTTGTTAGTTTTTATTTCAATGGCTAGAACACCAATTATTTCGTTTCCTGCTGTAAATGTTGTGACATTTTGAATGATATAGATTGTATGATTTTCTTCTTCCAAATTTCGACTAACAAGTAAATCGATATTACATTCACCATTCTCTGGGAAATTACTTAGGGTTATCCAAAAGTAGTGGGCCAGGTTCTTTTTTTTCTTATAAATAGGTAAAAAGAAATTTCTTTTTTTACGAATAGATAGAGCGTCTTTCGCTCTATCTTTCTATGCTATTTGATCACTATTCAACTGGTATCATAATAATAAAATTTCGATAAGAACTTTTTTTGTGTAACTCCAGCTGGTAGCAATAGTGCATATTATCATCCATGCGTGTTTTCTTTGTTTTTTTCTCATCATCTAATAGGTTCTATTAAAAAACAAAATACAGCACAAGATGCAGCGTAAAAAGCTCTACAATTTACATACGACCACTTTTTTATAGTTGCACTTTTTGTTTTCAAATTGGACAAAACTTTGAGCGACCAAATTTTGACCGTGCGAAAATTGGTAGCACAGAATTTTGCTTTTTTTGAAAACAATTACAATAAGCTTTACTATGTAAATTGTAGAGCTTTTCACGCTGCATCTTGTGGTATATCTCGTTTTTAATAAAACGTATTAGATGATAAAAATATGAAATAAGAAAAAAGAAATTTCTCTTTTGTGTAGAAAAAAATGACGTTTTTTGCAACGGCGAAAACTGGTCGCACAGAATTTTGCTTTTTTTGAAAACAAAAAGTACACAATTAAAATAAACTGTTTTTTGTAAATTGTAGAGCTTTTCACGCTGCATCTTGTGCTGTATTTTGTTTTTTAATAAAACCTATTAGATGATGAAAGCACGCATGAATGATAATATGCACTATTGCTACCAGCTAGAGTTGCACTAAAAATGTTTTTGTCGGAATTTTATTATTATGATACCAGTTGAATAGTGATCAAATAGCATAGAAAGATAGAGCGAAAGACGCTCTATCTATTCGTAAAAAAAGAAATTTCTTTTTACCTATTTATAAGAAAAAAAAGAACCTGGCCCACTACTTTTGGATAACCCTAAGTAGTACCCAAATTGAAACATACATCACCATATTTGATATTTTTCAATAGCACATTGTCAGAAGATGATTTATTGATATCATCAATGAATGTTTGAAATTTACTATAATTTAAATCGTTACTCAATCCACCAAATATCCAGACACTCCTATAAATATAACAATTTACTTTAGTGAGTTTTTTTTTTTTTATAAGAAATTTTCGTTGCACCAACTGATTCGAAATTTTTAATCTCATGTGAGTTGATAAAAATTTTATACTTAGAAAAACAATCAAAGCCGGAGTTTTTATCATGAAATTTCACGAATATGCTTATTCAAATGTTCCACAAACAATTCGAAAAAAAAATTCTCTAGCAAGAACCACAGTAACATTTTCTCTCTTTCTTTCTTTCTGTCTTTTCAATGCACATACATGCGTACATATATATATGTACACATGTATGTGCATTGAAAGGACAGAAAGAGAGAGAGAGAAAAAAAAAGATGGTGCTGTGGTTCTTGTTAGAGAATCTTTTCTTCTGAATTGTTTGTGGAGCATTTGAATAAGCATATTCGTGAAATTTCATGATAAAAACTCCGATTTTGATTATCTTTCTAAAGATAAAATTTTTATCAACTCACATGAGATTAAAAATTTCGAATCAGTTGATATAACTTATTTTGTATTCTGTACAATTTGCAAGAAAAAGAAAATTTGTGTTTGAAATAAAGTTAAAAGTACTTGAAGGATATAATTTAAATAAATAGATTAAATTTTTGTTTTTTAAATAAAGAGAAAGATGAATATAAATAAAAATAAAATGCTTTTTTAAATAGAAATATTCAATTAATGAAGAAAATATGAGATAAAATAATCCTCAATTCTATCAATACGTTTAGTATATTCACATTATCGTATCAATTCGTATCCACTGTATTTTGACTGACAAAAAGCTACTTTTAATTGTCTAAAAACTGCCTATGTTTGTCTCTTCGCACTTCTGTTAGTAAAGTCTTTTCACGTTTATTTTTGAAAGAAATATTTCATGCTTTATTTGCATGAACATCCGAAAATCAATTAAAAACTCTACTATTTACATATGTGTCGTAAGGCATCATTTTATATCATTCTAATATTGATTATTTTCTTCAGATAGATCAGAGAAAAGAAAATAAACATCTTTTTTTCTAATCAATAAATTATTCATTTCATTTATTTTTGTAAATATTATATTTAATAAGCTTACGTTATGCTTGATATTGGTAATAAGTCAGAGACATGTTTAGCAATATTTTGAAAACATAAACGAACAGTTGCCAAATTGATTAAGGGTGGAATGTATACAGAACTTCGATGTTCAATAAATATATGTTGATTATTATCTAATAGAACAACGAAGCCAATGCATGGACCAAGACTTGTTGTTGCTAAATAATCAATTCCTGAACCAAAATGATCTACTTTAATATCATTTATTGAATTAGCTGACATATTTCCTTTTTTGTTTATATACTTTGATAGAAGCTCTATATTTGTGGCGATAGAAAAGAGAAGAAGAATGATAAGTGTACACACATGTACATATATACACAAATGTAATCACTGGTGTGACAACAATCTTTTCTCCACAAATAAAACGATTTGACTTTGACAAAGAACGTGTAGAGAAATATTCTAAGATGAATACGGTCGATATTATCTGACAATTAAATATATGAGATCGAAGGATGAAAATAATACTTTCAACAAATTTTTTTATCAAAATTAAAATAACAAAAGATTTTATATAGAATTTTATTCGTTGAAATGACGTTTATGCTTAAGAAAAACTAATATTTATTGTCAGAAAATGTATATTTTACGAATATCTAATTAATTATTTACAGAATCTTAACACTCATAGATTTTACATGTTGAAATAAGGCTCATTTTCTAAACATACGCGTAAATTAGATAACTTTTTAATTTAAAAATAATCTTTGTACAAATAATTTATTTACATTGCAAATCGCATGAAACATATCGAAGAAAGATACGTTGTGTATGTTATAAAACTATGTTGATAAGATAGTTTATTTTAAATTTCGTCAGTTTTGTGTTTTTATTATTTAGTATAACATATCTTTGTAGAAAAAATGAGATATAATGGAAATTGATGGTTTGGATTGATCTAAAGTTCTTCATGATAATCATCTGATATTCGAACAAAAGATGCTGATTAGTCTATTCATTGAATTTCTCTTCGATGTACTTGAAATCAATTCAATATCAATTGATCGTCTTTTGTCAATGAATATTTAAAAACGACTTCTGGAGAATTTGAACAAAGATGATCAGGTTTACATTTATTTAAATAACTGATGAGTTAAATATTTCAAATTTAACTAATAAAAAACGAAAAACTATTCAATCTCTTTATAAATAAAAAAGATTTAATATTTAATAATTGAATCTGAATTATTGTGACATTTTTGAATAAGAACATAATAATTTTAAACATATCGGAAGAAGAAAATATTTCAATAGAATATAATCAATTGAAAAGATTATTTTTTTTTTTATCTCTTTTGATACTTTTATTAAATAAACATGAAGGTTTACATATTCATCAACGTTTCAAATGAAATTTTTAACTTATTTTCTGTTTCAAATAAACATTTCTTCCGTGAACTTTATTATCAATACTTTCCCTTAATATTTAATTACAATTCGAAAGAGAAAACTAAGATTTTACTATGCAAAATTAATTCGTTATGAATGAGGCTGATCGAAAGTGTGATAGTAAAAGAGGCATTTTCACTGATATCCTACTAAACAATAAAGCAAATGAATGGATTAGTACTTTGCAATCGAATTATATAGGAAGATAAAATATATCATGAAACAATTCATAGATCTGTTCAAGTTGTCAAAGTACTTTCATTTTTATGATTTTTCTCTCTATTGCTCGCAATAATTCAATCAACTGGCATTAATCAAATACTTTGATTTGTAAAAATGACGAAATTTAGTTAACTAATGATACAATAACAATAGATTCAATGTACTTTAGAAATAGAAAAGAAAGTTGAACAAATGTTGTTTCTTTTTAAATATTTTATTTAAATTCTAGTTAGAAAAAAAAACAAACCAAATCATCTATATGCAAATTTTCTCAACGAATATACATATTTTGGATTGAAAATCACAACTTTTTAATAATATTAGAACCAAATACGTAGTTCATCATTTATATGAAATTGAAAATGAATATTATTACCATGAAATATTTGATCATGAATAGCTGCAATTAATTTATCTCTGAACATGATCTTCTTTTCGTTTTTAGATCGATAACGACAATTTTTGTTTAATACTAAGTATATCAATTGATCAAATTGATGACTAATATTCAAAATAAATTCAACAAGATATTCATTTTGCTTCATAACTGCATCACTTGTTTCAAGTAAATATAGATGAGGTACTATTTCATTTAATCGATGAATATCAAAATAATGTTTAGAATTCTCATGGAATCCATTTAATAAGAGATGCACATGTTTTAGATTTAAGTATTTTCGTGAACAGTGACGAAAATCTCTCCATGATACTACAAGAGATGAGAGATTTGGTGATGCATCAAGGATCCGCTTGACCATGGCGATGCGTTCGCATTTCTCAATTGAATTTGATTGGATGTTGAATGTAATAGATCGTATATGATTAAGCGATAAGTTCCAATGTAAATCACACTTTGACATCATTGATGTATTTGTCTAAAAGGTACAAATTTGTAATAATAATGTTTACAGCATTTAATAGCTGTTATTCGTATCATAAGAATACTGATCTTTTGAAAACTTAAATTTGATACAATCGAATCGTTACAGAAACGATGACAAAAAGTGTAGAGTGATGCACAGAATAAATTAAATTTACATTTAATATCATAAATGTTTTAAATTAGAAATTTTGTTTTTTATATTTGAGATATAAAAACTGATTCATCTTCGATATTCGAACAATGGTTTACTCTCTTGGCGACGGGAAACGTATATATCAGTCGAAATCGATCATATATAGATATCGATGTCTCCTGTCGCCAAAGTGTTACAATAGGCTCTAATCGTAAAAGAAAATCAAAGTAAGATTTATGTCATGAACTTTCTTGTATGACACCTAGACATCTATAAAGTATAATTGAAAAATTTCCAAATGAATTAATTTACATACTAGATTCTAAAAAGAATAAAATCTTCACTAACTCCAAACATTAAATTTAATCGGTGCAGAACTTGTCAAAAATAAAGTGAACTAAATACCATTGTCAGTCAGTTAGATTTTACATTAAAATCTCTAACATATTTATAAATTCGAATTAATTCACCATTTTTGTTTAAGATTGAATTTGACAATAGTTATTAAGAAAAGAAAAAAAAATCGAAAAAAGAAAAGGTTCATAGTTTTTATATTATTGTGATGTTCTTTATGCTAACAATTTGTTTATTCTATCACATAAAATAAACATCTAATTTATGAATTAACAACATTCCAATACGAGATTTATTTTTTTTTATAATAATCTATTCTGATTTGTCTCGAACTTTGTATATATGTATTTCTATACTAAATCAATAAGTAAATATTTGATATCGACACAAAACTTGTCTCATTATTTCCTTAAGTTTCGAGAAAAAAAAACTTATTCGTAAATATTCTATAAAATACTACACTTCAAACTCAAGACTAAGTAGTTTCATTCAATTTATCCTTTTTTTGACTTACTCGTTCATTTAAATATGTTAAATGAAGTTCATTAACATGACCACTTGCAACTATTTGTAGAGTTTTGTTAAATTGCTCAGTCTCATATTTTTGATCGCAGACCCATTGAATCAATCGTCGTCGAATTGTACAAATGGGAGCAGATATATGTGTTGCGAAACCATAATTGTGAAAAGTTCGTTTGTGGCGATAGAGTAGATTAATTGAACAATTGTAGATAACAAATAGGATCTTTAGAATCAAATCTATTGCATCTGGAGTACACATATAACACTCATCCATGTAACAATTAATATTATCAAAAGGCCATTGTTGATTATTGCAATTGAATGAACTCATTCTCCATTCATGTTCAATTTCTTGAGGGAAACATAATGAGAAATGAAAAGTTTTCAAAGCAGGTAAATATGTAGAACTACAAAGTTCTTGAAATTGACCAAGATGATCTAAAGCTACAAGAAAAAGAAATGAAATGAATCTTTTCATCTAAATATCTATTCAAAAGCATAGACATTCGACTTCACTTGATCACATCAACAATGAAAATAAAGACAACATATTGAATTATTTCACGATAAAAGAATATCTTTCTCTAGAGTGTTGAACGCCAAATAATTAAAGTTAAAAAAACAAAGAATATTTAATGCAACGTTTTTAAGCAAAATACTTTCAAACTATCACTTCATGTTCCCCTTGTCGAAAAGGAGATTTTTCACAGAAAAAGAACACTTTTTTATATAAGATTGCAAAACCAGTTTCAACTTGGAAAGATTCTCAGAATGAAACGCTTATATTTTCAAGTGAATTTAACTAAACATCTATCAATTATTTCATTCATTATCATATAGTTAGATTCTTCAACGTTTTCTTTTATCCATTTTAACTAAATCTACTAGTTATTATATCATATGGTCATATATTTTATCCTCGTTTTTCAAAATACACGATAAAATCCAGAGAAACATATTTTGAAGTTTTCTTTTAGACCTATTCTTGATTTGGTCATTGGGCGTAGGATAGTGTTTCTCCAAAATGTATTTCATCCCAGACAACTGAAAAACTTTTCTTCATTACAAGTATATCGATAATGCTTGATATATGGAAAACAATGTTTTAATTACTCGTGAATGATAAATAAACTTTCAGATTTGCAAAAAAAGATCATACTTCTGATTTACAAAGTTTGAAGATCCTGATTATTTGAACAATGTAGTTGATCAAATGAAGCAAAACTTTCTCTCTCATAGCAAACGATAAGAAATTGTCTTTTATCTAAAAGAAGACAATTCAATCCCTGCAGTATTAGAGCTCTATCTCAAATAGTATCACTAAAATATTTGTGCTGACAATTTCTTATAAAAATCTTGCTTGTCTTAAGTTCATTCAATGATTTACAAGCGACGACTTTTAGACGCCAAGACATCTTGTAATTCTTGATGAATTTTGATGATAACACAAAAGAAAATTTAGATGTCTGATATATCGATCAATAGTTAGAAGTCCATTAAGATATATTTGACTCAACTGTGACTGGGCACCAACAAGATGAAAGTTGACATTTGAAATCCTTAAAATTATGTGCGGGTGAGATCTATTAGTTCATAGAATATACTACGAAAGTTTGAAAGAAAAATGAAGTTTTCTATTCTTAAAATATTAATTGTTCGCATATACTCGATTTTTGAAGGCAAATATTTCCGCAATTCATCTTTAAATTAACATCTACCATCCAGTCAAAAATTCACTAATACGAATATATATTCTCATCAATACCAGAAATTCCAGCCTTTTCATCATTATAAATACAAATCACTACAGACTACAATATGTACGATTATTTTAGAATGAAAAAGCGTTACGGTATGTATATGTCGTTCCTAAGTTACACCCTTTGCTGAAGTTGTAACTTCGACGGGCAGAGTAACTTCAGCACGACATATATATTATGAATGAAACTGATTCATTACAATTGATCATGTTAAAATAATAGATGAAGAAATAACTTACTATCATCATACATATCAATAAGTATCAATTCTTCAAGTAAAGGCATGGTTATCGAACCAATCAATATCATAACATCATTGAGAGTTATATAACGTAAGAGTAAGTGTTTCAGATGAGTACCACCAGTAGCCGTTTCTCGTAGAGAATATTTCGAAAGTTGAACATTTGATGCTGATATATTTACATTGAAAGGTAAATTAGTATCCAGATTCTCAATAGTAATATTCAAATATTCAATTGCAGGTAGAGCATTGTGTTCAAATAAAAGCCTTAATTCGCTGAAATGTTGAATACTTAATGTTAATTGAACTGTATTTGACCAAGATAGTGGTTGCATGTTGTGTAAATCTTCTAGCTCATTCAGCCGACAACTGTGACCTATGGATAAAATCAGTAAAAATAATAGCCAAGTAGAAAAAAAGATTCTTTCACTTCCATTACTTTCTGTTTTAGAAAAGTTTAAACGAAATTTTTTTAAATCTAAGAAAAACAAAATTGATTCTCATAAATATGAAAACAATCGATTATAGGTCTTTTTTTTGTAACAATTTTTATAACTGACCATTGAAGGAATGTTATATTTCTCCACTGAAGAAAAATTGATCGAGAAAGTAAATACTTTTATATATCCGATATATTGCTATTTATATTTTCATTTTCTTTTTGTCTATTGACTGTCATCAGTACTCTTATTCCAAAAGTTTTCCAACTTGAGATAGAATAAGAAAAATCTCTGCAATGAAATAGATGAAGGATACAACTTATATGAAATTGTATTTCTCAGATCTACATTTTATCTTAGCAAATTAGAACTATTCAATTGTTTTCTATTCTGATAATTTTTTATTCTCGTATATTCAATTTTCCAGTTTCTATATGATTCTTTCTTTTCTTTACAATAGTATCGAAATAATACAAATCCATTAGGGGTTTGATATTTTTTCTTATGCTAAGTTGAACCTGTTATTTTGTTTGTTAACTGGTTCCTCTAAAATTAATGATACAATTACTATCATGAATATTGAATGAGAATCATAACGACATATGGTATCATATTAAAAGTATCGTTCAATAGAAGTATTTTATACAAGTGCAGCCAACAGAAAGTGTTCACCATTCGAAAATTCACTTCCACTAACATTCCTCCAACAGACTGTGAAATTTTACTGAATAACAGAATTTCGCACTCACATTACTAAACTTTAAACAAGATTCTTTTTTAAAGATAAGACACTTGTATATAATACATAATAATTAATATGTTAGGACCAGAGATGAGCACAGGACAAACTTTTTCATTCTGTCTTGCCTGCCGCTTCGACTTACCCGTCCTGCAGAGCGGACGGGACAGCAGGACGAACCACACGTCCTACCCTGTGCTCAGCTCTGATTACAACAAGATAAACATTAAATTAGTCAATTAGATATTCCATAAAATAATCGAATTGCGGAATATTCGTATTAAAAGTGCTGTTTCAATCTCAAGCGTTTTTTGCACATCGGTACAACTCAAATCCAAAGATTATTTGAAATCTCTCAATGCGACAATTTTATCCTACACGATAACTCTATCTATAATAATACTCTTGATCATTCAAGCTGTTTACTTCGATAATATTTTTAATAACATACCTTGTTCAACTTCTAATATCATAGTATGAACTGAAATACGATGAAGAATAAGTTTTGAAAGTATCCTTGGATAATTGGATGCAGGTTCTTTGAAGATGAGATGTAAATATTGTAATGTATTATTAGCAAAAACCAAAGGTATTAATATTGCTTGAATAAGAGTATATGAATAACATTCTGCTTGTAACATAACAAGGCGTTTTATCGATGGGAAGAGCACATTGAATTGATCAGTTCCATTAAAAGTCTTTTCCCAGTATTCAAGTAACATTCGGGAAGCATATGAATCATTAAACACAACAGTATTTATCAAATTAGTAAAATGATTTCTATGATTCTGATTACTATTGAGCCATAGATGTAGTTGATCATAATGCATTAAATTAACATTAAATGAATGACGAATCGAAGTAAGAAGATGTTGAATACGAGCATTGTTTAAGTAAAGAAATGCTTGACAAAGATCAAATGAAGATAAATAAGAAAATATAATAAGCAAAAGTTCATTTGGTAATGATTCCAATGTAATTTTACTCATCGTTATTTTATTGAATCTATTCTATTTACATACATGTTTATTACGATAGATATACGAATGACCTTGAATAAGCTGAAAAAATTAGACGAATTCAAATTGAACTAACAAAAAAGTCAGAATTGACCAATGACATTGCTTATTTTCGTTGTCATTCTTTTTTTGTCAGTTTGTTTGACACATCTATGACAACAGCATATATGTTCATGTTCAAAAAATCATTCATAATCATTCGACGAACAATATAAAGGGAAATTCTCTGTTTAAGCATGATTTTTTTATAAGATATCAATGACTTTGTTTTTTGCATCGAATAGAAGATGATCACATGAAAGTCTATTGTAATCATTTCTTATTGTTTGAAGAAAATAATTGAGTATTTTTTGTAGAATAATACTCTTTCTACTTTTATATTATATTGAAAATCAAAATATAAGTTTAGCAATTCTTGAATAAAAAAAATATGAAAACAATCTTTTTATACGCGATATTTCTTAATATTCAATCAGCCAAAAAGTATATTGATAATGATTATTATTATCATATTTAAAAAGTGAAGAATATGAATGTATTATTTATGTTTTGAATAATATTTCACTCTATAAAGAAATTATTTTTAATAATAAATATAAATGTCAAGGAGTTTTAGAAAAATTTATGTTATTTTGAATGATAAAATATTAAAAAAATTGTTTTATTAATTTAATGACATTTTTTTGGCTTTAAATTTTAAGGGTATTAAAACATATAACGACTAAAAAATGAGACGTATTTATTAATGCATTCGAATAAATTAAATATTTCTCTTTTTGATTTAGTTTCAATTATTGAAAAAAATAAATATCAACAAGTGATCGATATTCTTTATTTTCAATGTCTTCATCATAATGATGTACTTCATTGATTTTATCTTCTTTCTTATTATTGTAATATCATATATATAATTAATTCTATATAAATAAATGTTATATAGTCAACTAGAATAATTAGATTTGTTTTATAATAGATAAATCGTTATCATTATATATAATTGAAGAGAATAAACAATAAATCAATTTCTAAACATGTCAAATAATAATTTTTAGTCAACGAGATTTATTTAACATAAAATGTTTCGTTTTTTTATTTATTTATTCAGTAATAATTCTATTCTATAATTGAATAGAAATTAAATAAATTCCTCTTAGAAAAATAACTATAGATATTTACTTTTTTAATAGAAACATTTTATTATAATGTAGTCAAGTCCTTTTTTGTGTACTCAAAAAGTTCATACACTCTAGAATCGGTCAGTATGTCCGTCTGTCCGGCCGTTTACACGATAACTTTCGAAAAGAGAGTCAGATCATGATGAAAATCTTTACACAGTTTAGTCTTAATAATATCTCGGTCGAGTTCGACGATGAGCAGGATTGGCCGAGCCATTCCTGAGTTATAGCAAAAATACTCATTTTTCCCTATGGCTTCTTATGGGAAAATCGACCTATCTCCACTTTCGTAAAAGAATTTCCCTATCATACTCAAATAAAAGCCCAACTATTATATACCATTCGATAGAGAATTTCAAGAGCTAAAAAATGGTATATAAAACATTAAGAAACAAAAAGACTAGCTCACCTATTGCAAAGATAAATGAGCGGAAATCGATTCTGTTCTTGTGCACGCTCTAATTGATCCACAACTAGAGCTCTATCTTCTGATCATAGAGGTGATACTTCGAGGTTTTCTGGGACTGGGAACTAGAATCTGTACTTCACTGGTCTCGAAGCTCCATTGGTTGAGCACTGACCAATAGAAATCAAGTTATACGAAAAACAACTTTCTTAGGGTAAATCAAGGTGCAGAGTTCAAATCTAAGCTTTATTCGTCTCCAAATCCTATTAGTTTAGCAGTAGCCTATACAAATCAAGTATTTCTAGAAAAGGTTTGTTAGAATAATTTTTACGTTTACACATTCTAGAGTAACTCATCTGTATCATTCACTTTTTGAAGTACACATAAATCTCGGATTTCAATCCGAGTTTTCCACATTTATTTTTTTCTAAAATGATTAACTATAAAAAAAAAAAGTAAATTATCATTCGTTTGAATATTTCTAGAAGATGTTGTGTAAACATATCTAACAGTCGATAAATCAATAAATCTAATAATTTCTTAAGAATAAATCGAGTTGAATTATATTAGAAAAGGAGATTTTTAAAAATTTTTTTTTTTTTCTAATCATATTCGAGTATGAGGAGATTTTTCATTAGAAATGTTGATTATTGAATATAAATAAAAGATTTATTTCTCTTTGAATAAATAATATAATAAAAATTATTTTGAGATATTTTACGAGAAAATATTATTTTATCGAGTTTAACTTTCATAGATAAATATCTATAATATATTCGATTTATTGTTTAAATACTCTTATTAGTTGATATGATCATATCATATTAACTAAATATTATCTATTTTTTATTTACTTATTAGAAAAAATATTTAAAAAAAAAACCGATTTTCCGACGTTAACTATCATAGAATATAATAAATATTTCGACTTCTATAAGGAGATAAGATATAAAAACGCTTGTCCTTCTATTCAGAAGCTTAAAAAAAAATAAAAAGAATTGTATTTCGGAGTACTAAAGTCTCGCTTTAATTGCATTTGCTTCATCGAAAATCGTGTAATTAGTGAAAGTCATGATTGTTTTTTCTTTTCTTCTGTTAATTGAAATGTAGAAAGTAATCGAGATAATTAAAATATACGGTACAATTCCAACAAAGAAATTAATTCATATAGTCCAAGCGTAGAAACAATACTCAATTTTTCTATCTGTTAAAATGTATCATCAAACTATTTACAAAAGCAAATGTTAAACAGACACATCAAACTTTTTCCAAATACTTTAACAATCGGATTCCAAGAGCATACCGCGAGATCTTGACATGTCGATGTTCATACATTCTCTCTTTAGATGAAAGTATCACACAATCTAGTACTTCCCATACTTCGTACATCTTCATTGCCTACCATATCTCCTATATGTCGATTACCTTCTATACCTCCGATAGCTCGTGTACTTTTATTGCATCTATTACCTTTTCTACTTCCTATATCTCTCTTACCTTGTATACCGTCATTACCTTAATTACTTCCTATACTTCTCTTACCTTGTATATCTCCATTACCTCATATACCTCCATTAATTTTTGTACTTCGTATACATCGTATAGCTCCTATATCTTCATTACCTTTTATATTTCCTATACTTCTCTGACCTTGTACACCTTCATTACTTTTATTACCTCCTATACTTCCTATACTTCTCTTACTTCGTATACCTCTATTACCTACTATACTTCTTATACCTCTCTTACCTTGCATATCTCCTATACTTCTCTTACTTTGTATACGTCGTATACCTACATTACCTGTATTACCTCATATACGTCCATTATCTTATATATCTCTCATATACCTTCATTACTTTCTACATCTTCGCTTGTAACAATTCTAGCAATGTAATAGAAATCCAAAAAAAAAGTTATCTAATTTTCTGTATGCTTTCGTTCTATACATTTAATTCTTTTTTTTTGTTTGAAAGAGTATGACAAAGTCCCTTTTTTCTTGAGTCAAGCATTATTACTATTACATAGAAGAATATACTTTTATAATTTAAGCGTCATTTTTTGGGGGGAATTTTTCGAGACATTGAACTTGTCATCCCTTTTTTTTTCACTAAAAAGGTCAAATGAGCTACTCTATAACTCTAACATAACTTCACAGTTTCATGCGATTTGAGCATACCTGGCCCAAGATTGATTTTTGAGGGAGAGATGGTCTCAACAACAAAATAGGATAATTACTTGTTATAGATTTTATTTCAGATGTTTAAGTAGATCATTAAGATCCAAAAATATTTATGAATATGCTCTGTATCTAATTTTATAGAAACTACTCAAGAAAAAAAAAACATTTACTTTATCTTAAAAGTATAATTGATTGAAACAGTCATCATTCAATTATAACTTTCATATTAAGTCAAGTTAAAAATGTAGATTTCGTCTCTTTTTTTTTTATAAAACTTGAATGATATAAAAATAATGAAGTGTTAAAATAATCATTTATTCATCTTTCGTTCATTGCGGATCACTAATCTTTTCTACTGAAAAATCAATTACAAGTATATAATAGGACGAAGATAGAACAAAAGACATATATATTACATATAAATTATTTTTAGTTAATTTACATAAGAAATTTCTTCTGTCATATTTTTGTGATTTGTGTATTCAATTAACACCATCTGTTTTTTTTTTCTCTAACAAGAAGATAAACATATTCCAATTATGATGATATATATTCATTTTAAGAATTAAATTTCATATAAGTCAAGGCACTTGCTGTGATGCGAAAGACATAGTGAGAAGGTGGACTAGACAGTAAAAGCTAAGATGACAATCAATCATCATGAGAGAATATATATATATATATATGTGTTAAGTGAAACCATTCAAGATACAAATCACATCAAACATAATATTTGCTAAATAGGTGTCAACGACAAGGTCTCATACGTTTGTGAATAATATCTAATCATAGATATCTTGTGATAATGTCCAATCGATAAAGTTCAGATAAATACGAAAAAAATATTTGTCATTTCAATTATATTCGGCATAGATTTTTTTGTTTTTTTTATCAAACATATAGCGAACGGAGCCATCATATTGACCAGAGAAGAGAAAGAGAAAGAACAGAAGCGAGAGAGCGAGAGAGAGAGAGAACAGCGAGAGCAAAGAAAACGGACAAAAGTATTGTCTCTAATAAAAAAAAAAAAGAAAAAAAAGAAGAAAGAAGCGAAATAACTAAGAGAGAATGTACAAGACATAACATATACACACGTCTTGGTATGCACCACTTGACTCATTTATTTTCTGCTATTGTATACTCTTGAATTATTACAATTAATTTGATCATGCACGTCTAATTTTTATTAACTTTGAACAATAAAAAT